GCGTTAGCCAATGGGGTGTGTGTGCACAGTGACAACATAACAATAAGAGAGAGAATGTGTGTACCTTTAGGGTTTGCCTTTGTATTTATAGAGGTTACATGTAGGTAGTGTGGATGGGTCTTTGATTCCTACGGTGAGGGTCCAGCCATGATAGCTATGCTGTCACATTAAGATTAGTAACCTTGATTAGCATCAATCCATATCTTGGATTGCCCCTTGTTGAGCTTGCTACTTAATGGGCCCATTATACGGGTCTATAACAATGACAAAATGATCACTGTTCCATTTTATCTCGCGTGATGAGTTTCAGACTTTGAGGCGTAGGTTGCGGAAGCTAGTCAATGCTTCAAGTTGGGTGCAGGTGCATTAACATAGCTTTGGGAAACTCAATTTTAAAGTGAAAAATTAATACTAGAGCATGTTGCCTTACCTGGGGATGTTCAGTTGCATGGTGTGATGCTCGTTTGGATTAGATGCAAGATATTTTTAGTTAAATATGTTATGAAGCAACTCTTCCAGAAGAATAGTTAAGAGAAGCCGTATGAACCAAAAGATGACAGTTTATTCGGGAAGTGAGAGCTGACTGTATAACAACTTAACGATAGTTGGTTGTATTCATCAGTTTTCGCAATAATAGCTTTTTCTGCCGTAGGATTAACTGTATTTTATATGTTTCGGATTTATTTGATTGTTTTTTATGGATATTTAAATGTTTATTTTCAAAATTTCAATGGAAAAAGATGCATAAGACCGAATATATGGGGTGAGAGTATATATTTGATCTTCTTCAATACTAATTTTGGGATGAATTTAAAATCTTAATCATGAACTCGTCTCAAACAAGATTACCTTCCATAAAAAAATACTTGTGATTTATCCACACACAAAAAACCATATGAATCAACGATAAGGATTGACTTCAAAATTACATAATTACATAGGCTTTGATATTAAGTCATAAGTATACTCTTCCAAAAACTTAAATTATTGATGTAAGAAAAAAGACTTAAATTATTAAGTGAAGATACATAATAATTTGAGGAAAAGTTTCATCACTGACTTATATTTAATAATATCAGAATTATAATATAAATTAATTTATATCTTCACTTAACAATTTAAATTTTGAATAAAGTTTGTTCATAATATAATTTAAAAGCCTTTATAAGGAAGTGGTCTAAAGTTTTATCATTAGTACTCATATCCCAAAAGGATGATTCATATATATATATATATATATATATATATATATATATATATATATATATTTTTGGTAAACAATTCATATATCTTTATCTAACAGGTTTCCATGACATATTAACATAGCCTGCCTTTATGATAACTAAGTGATCTTGGTCTAAACTCTACAGTTTTAGTTGAATTGGATCATGAAATTATATCTTTAAATAAAATTCATCTGCTTAACATAGTTATACAAATATTTTTTTAATAATTTTAATTATTTTATTGTAATTATTTTATTTTTTATATTTACATTCTAATTTTATTATGTATACCTAATATGAAGTGATATGCATGTAATAAAAATATATATCAAATTATATTATTTTTGAATTTTATAACACTATTTATCTTTTTGATACGAATAAGATTTTTAGAGGTTATTTGGTATTAGAGAAATTTTTTATTATCAGGAAAATAAATTTCTCGAAATATGGTGAAATTTTTTTTTACCCGGATAAGTTATAAAAAATTGTTTGGTAAGCAAAAAAATTTCCAAGAAAATTGAGTTATTTTTACTATGCTATGTTTGATTGATGATGAAATATTGATGAGAATGGATAGTGAAATTACCAAATTACCTATCATTTTAAAATTTTGAATTACAGTCTGCAAAGCGTACTTTTTAGAAATTGGTCTGAGGGCAATTGTGTCTTAAAATTGGTTATTGGATTCTGAGTAGTGGTTAAAAAAAACCCCAAGGGGTGGGATGGTATTATGGGGAGCCATTGTGTAGTTCAAAAAAAAAATGGATGGGAAAGAAATTTGGCTGGCAATATTTTTCCTTTAGGGGGCATTTGGTTGAGGAGAAATTTTTTGAATACTAGGAAAATATAATTACTAGGGAAATGGTTGGAAAGTGAATTTGATAGGAAAATGTAAAAAAAGTTGTTTGGTTGACTGAAATATTACCAGGGAAATTTATTTAAATTTGTAAAATCTATGTTCGGAAAAAACTTCGCACCTGTTTTTTCACTTCCTCAGTTATCTCAAAATACCACATCTCAAGTGTTATTCTGTAACAGTGAATTTCATCCAAAAATCAACACAAAAGTCATTTCCCCATCTATTCTATTTGCCTAGTATTTTTTTCAAAAACCTGAACCAAACATAGTATTTTCCAATATCCACTTACACTTTCCCATCAATCTCAAAATAAATCTTCTACCAAACACTACCTTTCTCATATCAAATATGGGAAAAATATTTCCCCCCACCAACTTTCCCAACATTATTTTAAGATAACCCAATATTTTTGCTTCTCATTTCGGACAATTAGCAATAATTTTTCTGGATTCGAACCCCGACACCGTGGTTCGTAGCCACGTGCTCTAATCCTCTGAGCTACAGGCCCCACCCCGTCTCCACTGAATCTGTCAAACACGGTAAGATATTCTCAAGATCTAAGCTTAAAATCTAAGCTTAAAAAGACCCGTATAAGATATGAAACTAATCATGAATTAAGCTGTATGACAATTATACTAATAATACTATTTTAAACTTATTTATTTACGCTCTTACTTCATTATTTTATAAACAACGTTACTTGAAAGTCATGGTAAAATGCGCGGAAAGAACATGTAAGAGGTTCCACTGACTTTTTTTTAATCAAAAGTCCCAGTATTTTGGTTCAACCCGAAACTTATCAAGTTGAGTGAAAATGAGATTTAATGTATTTTTTAAGAAGGGTGACTCAAATCGGACTTGAGGCAACCATTACTAATAGGAAGTCTCATCTTCCAATGGTTGAATACCTTGTGGCTTTGAACTAGAGTCTAAACAACCGGCCTATGATTATTATTTATTTCCACTACGCAAATCTTACAAAGCCTAATACTATCCATAAATGTGCTGGAAAAAGTAGGAGAGGGAGAGCAAAGTAGAGACGAAAATCTAAGAATTTGGGAGGAACTTAATATCATGAATAATGATTAGTGCGTGCAAATAACACTTTGTCAAAATATGCACCACTGCGCGGGATACTGACCAAAATGTCACTATTCATCAACTTTTTTACCTAAATGTCACGCGGACAGTGTTATTTCCCAATCTGTCACGGGGCAAGTTCGCTTCTGACACAAGCGACCTCGGTCTGCTGACGTGTCACATTTTTATAGATAACAAGTATTAAATTTAAAAAAAATTCAAAAAAAATGAAGTTCGCCTACCATGTAGGCGAACTTGGTTAAAATATTGTTAGAACCGAGGTCGCCTGTGTCAGAAGCGAACTCTGACACCACCAGGAAGCTGACACATCAGCAAACCAAGGTCGCTTGTGTCAGAAGCGAACTTGCCCCGTGGCAGATTGGAAAATAACACTGTTCGCGTGGCATTTAGGTAAAAAAGTTGATGAACAGTGACACAATGGTCACTGTTCCCCACTGCTCAGATGGTATAGTGTTTGATTTGTACAAATTAAAAATGTTTTATGTTGGAACAAATTCAGTTTAATAGGGCCATTTGTAAAGTTATAGAAAAAAAAAATTGTTTAAAATTAAAAATTATCTGTTGAAGTTCCAAAAAAAATTATATATAGAAAATTTGAGCCATAGCGTGGAAAGTAAGATTTGGTCTTAGATTCAAATAATCCCTCAAAACACCCAATGTCACCTGAATTATATTTTTTGGGTTGGTTAACACAATTTAACTTAGGGAAATTATTTTTTCATGCTACGTGAGAAGAATTATCTCTTGTAGCAGAGACAATATTACAGATGCGACCCACAGGTAAGAGAAGAGAGAGAAAATAAAGATGAGACCTATATTTATTTTGTGTATTGAAACATGACCTCTCTCATGTGAAATCAAAGAAATATAACCCATTAACTAATTACATTTTATATCTTAACATGATTATGATAACCTAGTTGACTTGGGTATGGAAATTGCAACACTCCATTTTTTACTGGTTTTCCTTGTGTATTAAGGAAGTTGTATTATTGGTATGTTCGAATCTCCAAGTTTTTGTCTGCTCTCTGGTAATATTATTGATCTATACAATATATTAAGTGAATGAAACCTAGCTAGTGTGGAAAGGAAGATATGGTCTTAGTCTTTGTTTATATCTATCTCTTTTTAGCTTCTCTATTCTTTATAAATAGAAATTTTTAGGTCAAATAGATTTTTACAAAAATCTTTATAATAAAATTTTTTTTTTACATAAAAAAGATTTTTTTTATAATGAAGAAAGAAGGCAAAAGCTAAAAACTTCTAAGAGCTTTTTTTTAAGTTGTATCAACTATTTTTTAAATGTGTATTTTTTTTAATGAACAGCTTTTAAGCTAAATTTTTTATATAATCATCAAATAACTTATAGTTTAATTTTTAAAGATCTTATTTTTAATTTTAGCTTAAAAATAATATTTAATTTAAAAAAGAAAGAATCCAAACAAGTTATTATAATCAAATAATTCAACAGAAGAGACCCAATATCACTTGAATTATATTTTTTAGGTTGGTTAACAATTTAACCAATTACATTTTATAACTTAACATGATTAAGATAATGTTGTTGACTTGGGTATGGAAATTGCAACACTCCATTTTTTACTGGTTTTCCTTGTGCATTAAGGAAGTTGTATTATTGGTATGTTCGAATCTCCAAGCTTTTGTCTGCTCTCTCTGGTAATATTATTGATCCATACAATATATTAAGTGGATGAAACCTCGCTAGTGCCTATAAAAAGGTTAGTTCTCTTCAAGTGAAACTCAGTTCTCACTTTATAGTGAAGAGGCTTTCTTTCAAACATAACAGAAAGATGGCTTCTATACTTGCACTTCGGTTTCTTTCTTTTGTCCTTTTCTTCTTTATGGTAATTCAATTATGCATAGTCTTAAGCTTTCAATGATACCCATATTTGGAAAAGTTTTCATATGTCCTTGTAGAATTATTTCCATATCTCCCTCTAAATAAATATCTTCTACTATTTCAACTTGTTACTCGTTTTAGCGATCCTTCACGTGTATATTGTAAAACCATAGGCATAGTTATTTTAATATTTTCTCTTACCCTGGCTTGTAGAGGTTAGTACTCGTTTTGACCATTTAAATACTAATGAGCACTAATCTACAATATATACCTCTAAAATGAGTCTTGGTTAACATGTTGACGTGACTCTCCCATGCATTTGTCTCTGTTATCGTTCAAAAAATAAAGAGTAAACACCTTTTTGGTCCATGGCAATATCTACGAAATCCTTTTTAGTTTCTGGCAATAAAAAAGGACCAAATTGGTCCCTAAAATTATGAAAAAAAGGGCCACGTTAGTCCTTATGTCAACTCCTCTGTCACTAATGTGGCCCTTTTTACATACTGTTAGGGACCAATTTGGTCATTTTTTATTGCCAGGGACTAAAAAGGATTTCGTAGATATTGCCCGGGACTAAAAAGGATGTTTACACAAAAATAAAAATCCTTGTAATCAAAATCTCATTTGCTTCTCACTGACTTCTATTGTAGGATGGCCATAGCATCGGTGCCAGAGATCTGAAGGTTGAGCTTGGAGATCATAAACAAGTGGATTCGTACGGAGCCACACCAATATCCGGAGATGAGCCTTATCAAGCCAGCTATAAATCTGTTTCCCAAGCAGGTTATGAATCTATTTCCCAAGCAGGCTATGGTGGCTCTGGCCATAAATCGGTTTCCCAAGCAGGCTATGGATCTGTTTCCCAAGCAAGCTATGGCGACTCTGGCTATAAATCTGTTTCCCAAGCAGGCTATGGCGGCTCTGGCCATAAATCTGTTTCCCAAGCAGGCTATGGCGGTTCTGGCTATAAATCTGCTTATAAATCTGTTTCCCAAGCAGGCTATGGATCTGTTTCCCAAGCAGGCTATGGCAGCTCTGGCCATAAATCCGTTTCCCAAGCAGGCTATGGCGGTTCTGGCTATAAATCTGCTTATAAATCTGTTTCCCAAGCAGGCTATGGATCTGTTTCCCAAGCAGGCTATGGCAGCTCTGGCCATAAATCTGTTTCCCAAACCGGCGGCTATGGTGCATCTGGCTATAAATTTGTTTCCCAAGCAGGCTATGGTGGCTCTGGCAATAAACAGATTTCCCATGAACCCAATCAAGCTTACTTAGCAAGCTATAAATCTGTTTCCCAAGAACCCAATCAACCTTATATAGCAGCCTATGAATCTGTTTCCCATGAACCCAATCAACCTTACAGAGCATCCTATAACACTGTTTCCCAAGACTCCGACCAACATGTTTTTTATGCCAAAAAAGCTCCAAAAGAGTCTGCCCATGATTCCACTGAGCAATACATAACTCAATATGGTGACAAGAAAAGCTCTCCAAAAGAGTCTACACATGCTTCCACTGAGCAATACTTAACTCAATACGGTTACAAAAAAGCTTCAAAAGAGTCTGTCCATGATTCCACTGAGCAATACATAACTCAATATGGTGACAAGAAAAGCTCTCCAAAAGAGTTTACAGATGCTTCCACTGAGCAATACGTAACTCAATATGGTTACAAAAAAGCTCCAAAAGAGTCTGCCCATGATTCCACTAACCAATACATAACTGAATATGGTGACAAGAAAAGCTCTCCAAAAGAGTCTACACATGCTTCCACTGAGCAATACGTAACTCAATATGGTTACAAAAAAGCTTCAAAAGAGTCTGCTCATGATTCCACCGAGCAATATATAACTCAATATGGTGACAAGAAAAGCTTTCCAAAAGAGTCTACACATGCTTCCATTGAGCAATACGTAACTCAATATGGTTACCAAAAAAGCTCTCCAAAAGAGTCTGCCCAAGATTCCACTGAGCAATACATAACTCAATATAGTGACAAGAAAAACTCTCCAAAAGAGTCTGCATATGCTTCCACCGAGCAATACGTAACTCAATATGGTTACAAAAGAAGCTCTCCAAAAGAATCTGTGGAGCCATCTTCCAAGGTGGACCATACAGAGGCTTTCAAGGCAGGATTTTTCAGTTTGGATGATCTTTATGTAGGGAATATAATGACACTTCAATTTCCTATCCAAGAGATTTTTCATTTCCTTCCAAGAAAAGAGGCTGATTCCATTCCTTTCTCATTGTCACAACTCGCAAGTGTTCTTCAACTCTTCTCAATCTCTGAAGATTCTCCTCAGGCCATATCCATGAGAGGCACACTTGAACAATGTGAAGCAGAGCCCATCACGGGGGAGACCAAGATCTGTGCTACCTCCTTAGAGTCCATTCTCGAATTTGTTGGCACCATAATTGGTTCAGAGGCCAAGTACAATATTCTCACAACCAGCCACTCCACAACCTCAGGTGTCCCCATGCAGAAGTTCACCATTTCGGAAGTATCACAAGATATCGATGCTCCTAAATGGGTAGCTTGTCATCCTCTCCCTTACCCCTATGCGACTTACTTTTGCCACTTCATAGCAACTGGGAGTAAGGTGTTCAAGGTCTCACTAAGTGGTGAGAATGGAGACAAAGTAGAAGCTCTTGGCATTTGCCATTTGGATACATCTGATTGGAACCCAAGTCACATTCTATTCAAGCAGCTTGGGATCAAGGCTGGGAAGGATCCAGTGTGCCACTTCTTCCCTATAAAACATCTTATGTGGGTTCCTGAGCCTTCAAAAGCCACCATGTGAAGGGTGTTCTGTAGATTTCTGTAATAAAGGTCAATAATCTCAGCAGTCGGTGGATAGATCTCAACAGCATGCTGATGACCATGTAACTGTTGTGGACTTTCTCTCTACTTGTATGTCTTGTGCCTTGTTTTATGTATAAATTGTGTGCTAGGAAACCTGGACTTGTTGCAACCTTAAATTTTTAATGAACGTTTAGTCCAGTTGAAGTATCTAGCTACTGTTTTAACTTATTTTGTGTGATTATTTAAGAACATCATTCTGATATTGCACTCCTAGGCTAGAAAAGGTTGAACCAACTAGGTGTAAAAGGATCAAGTATTCATTCTAAAAAACGACCATAACTGTCAAATTTATCCAGATAAGTGCCATTTCCAGTACATTAAAGTAGATCATGTGTCTCCTTTTTAGTTTTCAACAAGGAAAACACGTGTGCGTCAACTTGGGTTGGTTAAAGAATTTTTGGAATTTAGATAATACTCTTGTTATGGATTAGTCCCTGGTCTACTCACCACTACTTATCTTATTGAATTTCAAGTACATCACCAACGACCTAAATGTTTGTGTTCGACTAACATATACATAATATCATTTTGTTACCAAAAAAAGGAGTTTAATATTAAGAGTAAACACTTTTTGGTCCCTGAAAATATCTACGAAATCATTTTTAGTCCCTGACAATAAAAAAAGATCAAGTTGATCCCTAACAATATGAAAAAAGGGCCAAGTTAGTGACGGAGGAGTTGACATAAGGACTAACGTGACCCTTTTTTCATAATTTTAGGGACCAATTTGATTTTTTATTGTCCGGGACTAAAAAAGATTTCGTAGATATTGCCAGGGACCAAAAATGGTGTTTACTCTAATATTAATTCAAGAAAACAAAAAAATTAAATAAATCATACATTACCTTCAACCATTTGATGATGAACCGCCTAAGTATGTATTTTGAATAATACATCTCTTGGCTCCACCTCACGGGTCAACCCATGTTTCATGGCCACCAAATCAAAATTACACATAACTCAAAACCTCCATCTCGCAATCCCCTCCGCCTGCGTAGTACCCAACACGAAACAACCACCGTCACAGTCACAGCACCAACGTCACGGTGTTACTCACCTCATTCTTGGGGGATTTCTTCCCTTTGGGCTGTTCTTTTCTTTTCTTTTCAATCATTATTTGTTGTGGGCTGAAGGTATTGCGACCCTCAAATGCTTTTATTAGGCTAAGTTACGCTTTACACATTAAGAATATAAAAAGGGTTTTATTAATCTCATTTGAGAGAAAATAGGTGGGTCTCACCATTACAAGAAAAAAGAAAAGAAAAAAGGTGAGGTACGAAAATCGAAATGAGAGAGAATGAGAGAAGATATCTTACATAAAAAAAGAGTAATATTTCCCATATCAAAATTATAAAATAAAAAACACGGCTAGATAAAAAATATAATAACAATGAAAAATCAATAAATGAAAATATTGTTAGATTAATATTTAACTTATTTTTTTATGCATATATATATATATATATATATATATATATATATATTTATAAAAGCTTATTGTTTTTCAAGATGCTTGAGATAATTTTATCTCCGGCTACTAAATCATAATTTAACCGTACAAAGATGGAAAGGTAAATCAATTAATATAAAGAAATAAATAAACAAAACGACGTAATTTTGAGATGGTCGGAGATAAATTTATCTCAAGTTGCCGGAGAAATGTTTTTCTCATATATATATATATATAGGGCTTATCGTTTCTCAAGCGGCTTGAGATAATCTTATCTCCGGCTACTAAATCATAACCGTACAAAGATAGATCAATGGTGATAAAGGAAGAGAGAGAAAAAGAGAATCATAACCCTTCAAAGGTGAATCAATTAATATAAGGAAATAAATAAATAAATAAAACGACGTAGTTTTGGAGTAGCCGGAGATAAACTTATCTCAAGCTGCTTGAGAAATATTTTTTTCATATATATATATATATACAAAAAAAGAAGTGAAAAATAAAAAATAAAATGAGACAATATTTGAAATTCTTTGACTTAGCATGTTTTTTTTACATTATAAGACTTTATTCATCATCTGTTCTAATCCATTCATTGTTATTGGCTTATTTGTCTACTTTCCATACTAATGTTGTCATTGTTAGAATAAGTGATAACTCCATTTTTCTGTTATTTTTTAGTTTGATCATTAATTATTAGACTAATTTGATTCAAGTCGAACATGATCACAAGGATGAAAAAAAATTTCCTAACCAATTTTTAGCAGAGTTACATACTGAGACTAGAAAATTGCATAGTGCATACTGTACAATGTCACCTAAAGAAATAATTTGTTATACACATTGACAACTCTATATGCTCAATTAAGGATAGACACAATAAATGGGTACCCTCTCTTTACAAATGACAATTACGATATCTGTCTTTGTTCCATTACCTTGTTAGCAGGTGAATTTTAATTTAGCTTGGATGCCTCTGAAACAAGGAACATCCTCATTCTTTGGTCTCATTGGTTTAATTCATTTTCCATCTTCGGTTCCTCCAGCCATGATGTTTTCTCCTCCTACCCTAAACATATAAATTACTTGTCCAATAAACCCTTTGCTTGCATGCTGATGCAGTGTTGGGAGGCTTGTTCATAACCCATATTGTGACTTTGGTGCATCCTAGAAATTTATTGTACAGGTTTAAAAATGCGTTTTGAAAGTGCCCCTTATAAGCTAAACAAGGGGATGAAAAACAAAGACTAGATTGAAACGCGGGACCAATCTTTGGTCTCACGCTTAAATTGTTTATTTCATATATAAGAAAACTTTGGGCGTGAATTGGATCGGGATTTTAAAGGATTTTAATGGATTATTTTTGGGTAAAAAAATTCATTGATATTGAATTAGGATTTTTAAAGATTGAAAAAAAATCATGTGGAATTCGATTAGAATTTTAAAAGATTATTTTAGAATCCGTCCAAATTCGTTGGTATTCAATCAGAATTTAAAACAAAGGAAACATAATCTTGTATTATTCAAAAATATTATGATTTTAATGAATTTTTTATTGGTATTGATTTTGTGAGACTTTTTAGTGAGAAATATAAATAGGATGTCTCTCTCACAATCTCATTCTAACTCCTAGAATTTCTTGAAATTTCTCTATTGTAGTGTCTTCTTCTTTCTTTGGCGGGTCGACCCGCTCGAAATCGAGTTTCGCTACGAGAGCTTCATCAAAGCTCAAAAATAACAAATTTTTTAGCGATTTTAATAACAAAATAACTCAGAAACAACAGCCCAACAAGATTTTAATCTAATTCATCTCAAAAATAGCAGGTTTTGAAGCAATTTTGAGAATTTTTAGAAGTTTAAAAATGATTTTTTAAGTTATTGGTCATGATTTTTCTTGGTAAGAAAATGTGTGATTTTTGTATTAAAAACAATATAAAATAGTGGAAAAATAACAAGGGAACAAAAACTCCTCAAAACAATTTTCATTTTACATCAATGAAACAAGATCGATTTAAAGAAAGATTGAAACTTTCATAATATGAATCCTATGTTTCATAATAATACATTCATGAACAAAATTCCTTCACTATATAAGAAAAGATTTCAAATATTTTTTGTGTCAATAGATAATTAAAAACTTGTTTTTCAAAACCCCCAAAGCAATTTAAGATTTCAATGTATCGATTGAAATTAATTTTAGAAATTTTCTAAACTTTCACGTAATAAGATTCCAAATTTTCTTGTAATACTCAATGAAAACATGCATACTATGTTGCACAGACACCGACACGGGACACGGAACACGGGATACGGTACGAAATGATCCTTCGACACGTTAATTCTAAAATATGTTAAATTTCGACACGTTAAGACACGTTTTAATATTATATAATATTTTTAATTTATATAGTGTATATTGTATTTAGTATTCAATAATTTAACAGAAAAATAAAGCTAAACTTATAATACTCATCAATTTTGCAAAGAAACATAATATATCCCAAATGTTTATATTAAACTCAATAAAGTCGTAATCGTAATCTAACGAATCTAATAATTGGAACTCAAAATGCAACGCAACGTAACCTTTGAACCTTTTTTGAGTCTTTGCAACGAGTATTGGAGTGTCGGAAAATGTCAGAGTGTCGGTGATGTCGGAAAGTGTCGGACACGACACGTCAGTATTTTTGAAGTGTCGATGCTTCATAGCATGCATATGATATATGGTTAGAAAACTCACATCACGTAGAACAAAAACTCCAAGGTTTACAAGATCAATTGAAAAAAATTTAAAACAAAAATTTGTCATCAATTTTACTAATTGAGAAAATTATATTACGTTTTATTTTTTTTAATTAATATCATTGCATTTCTTTGTTAACTTTTTTTATTAACTCTTGTAATTTTGAATGTTTACTAAAAATTCATATGATTTTTTAAAATATTAAAAATTCATATTGTCCTTTCAAATCTTAAATTCTATTAAGATGCTGCCATGATTGTAAAAAGTCTTTAAAATCTCTTCAATTTTGAATAGTCTTTTAAAATCTATAAGATTTTTTATCTCAAAAAATTCTTTTAAAATCCTAATCCAATACACTCCCTTAGTGTTCTTTGACTTCTTTCACCCTTTATTGTAGATCTTGTCATCATATATGATATGGAAAATTTCTTCACTGCTACGGATGCACTGAGTTTTTGGTGCATCTTTCACTCATAATAATGTGACACGTATTCAAGTTTTGTCAAATCATGTGAGAAAATGATTTATCAAAAAGTAAAACACATGTCATATTGTAAACGAAAAATGAACAGAAAATTCAGTACATCTGTAACACCAAAAATATTCTCTATGAAATGATGCAAAAAATCTAATATAATATGGGAGTAGATACATCCAAGAGAGCATTTTCGGTGAGACTGTGACATAGTATTTTCAGTACGACAATAATATTATAACTATGTATTTTGGGAGTACATAGTTCTAATACTAAAATTAAATTTTTTTTTTTCTCTCTTTACAATACACATGCCTACCAACGTGTCATCATTCCATTGGTGGGACGCGCCTACTGAATGTTTCTTAGGTAGAGTAGATGTACCCACTTGAGTACATCTTTTTTCTAAGAGTAAAAAATTTTCTCCCCTTTAAATGTAATTTTTAACTTATATTTTCATCTATATCTCAAAACTTTCTCTTTTTTAGGCAGAATATACCCATCCAAAATTCACTCGTAGACATTAATGCTAGACAGAGTTACCTTGTTACAGTACATGTAATGTCTTGTTAGCTACAGATAAATTAATGCAATGACTTGAATTTTAGATGTGGTCATACCTACCAACTGGCAACTGTAGATAATACTACAGATAAACTAGTTGTCTTCTACCTTTGTTTTTTTTTTTTTTTTTTTGAGGAATTTCCACGGTTTTCACATTGAGAAGGGAATAGTACAAAAGAAAGAAGATGATCTTAAGTTTTGGAATTTAGTGGAGAGTTCCTCGTGATGTAAAAGTACAGCTACTCATATAAAGCCCAACAACCCGTTATTGTGTCTATAAAAGGCCCAACTTCGGATTCACACATATTTTGAACGTGTTCGGGTTGGACCTGGATCTGAAATCTCATGCCTATCTCATAACAATATATTCTGTCAATAATTTGGGAGGGGGATCTATCTCAAATTAATCACTACTATATAAAAGGAAACTCTCACCAACCAGATATATAATTGATCTAATAACCTAATTTAGAGTGGTTTTGTAGGCACACTACCCCACCCTGCATCATGGCCCCCACACTAGGAAGAACCAACTCACCAGAGTGAAGCCTAAATATTATTTTGTCTAAGTTCAAATGGTAACTAAAACACATTGGATTAATGAGTACAAAATCCCTCGTTTCTTTCTTTTCCACCTTCCCGGAAAATTTTGGAAAGATAAGGGGGAAAAAAAATAAAGAAAATTTGAGGATGGAAAAGATATCCTAATTCACTTCAACTGCAGCCAGAGATGACCCTGTAATTCGTAAAAATTGTCTTGAGGGAGATCTCATATATTGAGATTAAAATAGTCAGACACAGTTCGATGGTGCATGGACTCTCGGTCCTGCGTTTCAATTCTCAAGACAAACACCACATGCTAGCTTGCTTGCAAATTATTAAGGAGTCCAGATACGCTACAAGTACAACTACAACTTGGATATGTTTGTCCCATTAGTGGAAAGTTTTAATGCTAATCAACCGAACAACTGGCATTCGTGAGACGACAACGAGGCCTATTTGTTTAACTAAATAAAGGTAAATGTCTTAATGGTTTAGGGAATGTAACTAAACATTGTCTTGGTTTTATTACCAGCTATTTTCATCTTTAGTCACCGTTGGACATGTTTGTAAAAAGTCAATTCAACCTAAAAGCTTAAGTTTCTGGGTGAGGCTATATTAATGATTTTATATATCTCAACACGTCTTCTCACACAAAAGCGGGCTTGAAGGGTGGACAATGTACATGCTCACCTATCTGTGCGAAGAAAGAAATTCCACTTGAAAGAAAGTGGGAGGCGGTGAGGATCGAACTCGGTACACCGAGGCTCTGATACCATGTAAAGAACCACTTCAACCCAAAACCTTAAGGCGTTGGGTGAGGGTCTTTTTAATGATTTATATTATATTCTCTAACACACCCCCTCACGCAAGAGCCCTTTGGGCTTGAAGTGTGGATATGGCACAAGCCTATTATTGGTCTGGCTTGTGCTGCACAAGCCCTTTTTTTTTGTCTGCCTCGTGCTTTTCTTAATTCCACCTGAAAGTGGGGACGGTAAGGTTCGAACTCGCAACCTTACGGTTACTTAAGCTGATACCATGTTAAGAACTTTGGGATACACCACCCAAAAAGCTAGCTCTAAAGGTGGGAGTGCCCAAGGACTTATAAACTTCACATTAGTTGCACATACAACCAATGTGGGACTATATATCTCAACACGCCCCCTCACACGAGAGCCCATTGGGCTTGAAGAGTGGAAGATGCAACAGGCACAGCCTACCTGTGCTAAGAAAGTCCACAAGAGAAAGTGGGGGACGACAAGGCTCTGATACCATGTAAAGAACCTTGAAATACATCACCCTAAAAACAAACTCAAATGGTGGGAGTGCCCAAAGCCTTATAAACTCCACATTAGTTGCACATACAACTAATGTCGGACTATATATCTCAACACGCCCCCTCACACGAGAGCCCTTTGGGCTAGAAGCGTGGATATTGCACAGGCCCTTTTGTGCTTTTTTTATTTTAATTCCACTTTAAAGTGAGAAGCGGTGAGTATCGAACTTGTGACCTTATAGTCACTCAAGCTCTCATACCATGTAAAGAACCTTGGGATACACCACCCCAAAAGCTATAAAGGGTGAGAGTGCCCAAGACCTTATAAACTCCACATTAGTTGCACATACAACCAATGTAGGACTATATATCTCAACACGCTCCCTCACACGAGAGCCCATTGAGCTTGAAGAGTGGAAGATGCAGCAGGCCCAGCCTACCTGTGCTAAAAAAGTCCACAAGAGAAAGTGGGGGGCGGCAAAGCTCTGATACTATGTAAAAAATCAATTCAACCCAAAAATTTACTCAAAAGCTGAGTGAGGCTATATTAATAATTTTATATATCTCACCAATGTTGCGCACAAGTTTCAAGTCCTTCATATCCCATGTCGGCAAATTTGCAAGGCAAACGAATAAATTAGAGTGAAATGGATAAAATAGATAAGGGACCACTTGTTATTATTATTGTTATAAATAAATAGACAACGCTCCCTAGGCTTTTCAAATGGTATTATTGAATCCATAAAATAAAAAGTAATAATAATAAAAACCCATAACGATTTTCCAAAGAAAAAAAATATACACAGATCTCAAGGTTTTTTTAAGAACCAAAAAGAATTCCCAAGCTGCCAAGAAGATGAATAAGTGGCTTCAAAATCAAAGGAAATGTAAGGTCATTCTAACCCTGCTTGCAGTAATCAAATGCCATCAAATCCAAAGGAAAAATGGACCACTATACTTTTTTAAGACCCCAAAGATTTTCGAACACAATAAAAATAAAAATAAAAAGAGAAAGGAAAAGTTATAACCAAACAAAAACCTTATCCCTTGGACCAAGTGGGACTCCCCCTCACTCTCCCCGTCTCCTGGGTCCTCGTGCGGTTTAACTCCTAACGCCGACACATAGGGGTGGAGCTTCCCTTACAGCTTCCCATCGGGTCAGGTTTAACTCCTAAAATTAAGATGTATTAATTTTCCCTCCTTAGTACCAATATATATATAATTACTAAGTACTAACACTTGATTTGTATTTTATACTTAGTTTTTTGAAAAAGAAAAAGAGAAAACCAACGTTCTTTTTTTTTTTTTTATAAATGTAAATGTAAAAAAGAAAATACAAATTCAAGTGTAGAAATACCAACACACTTTTAAAAAAAAGACTTATATGGTAATTAACACTTTGCCATCTGCAATAGTGAGATTGCATCCATGACCCATTCCATAAGGTCATTTCAAATATGATACTAATCACTCCTTCAGTAAGAAATCAGGGGGAAAAAAAATAGCTCTAAAACACTTTCTTCTTCTTTTATCATTCATAGAAGTTATTGTAATTTTTTTTTTTTTTTTTTTACACAAGTCTTGACACTTTTGCTCGTGGTTCCTCGTTTTCACTCGAAAAACTACTCTGAAAAACTTATTATACCCTATTACCCTTAATACACATTTCTCTAATTAAGTTCGGACATTAGTTCCTAATTGAACTTGGGCATTACTATCCCCAACTTCCTTAGGGGTGTTGTTGGCCTTGACCCTAAAACTACCGAAAGACCCTTCCATATCTTCAAGGGTTTTACCCTGTGTTTCAGGAAGCATGGTATAAAAGAATATCCATCCAGTAGCAGCTATACCTCCGAAAAGAAAGAAAGCCCCACCAATGGAGATCCCTTTGGATAAGGACAGAAAAGTCATTGAGATGACCCCACTCGTGACCCTATTCACCACAACTCCCACAGCCGCACCCTGTGCTCGCAGCCTCAACGGGAAGATCTCAGAACTATAGACCCACGTGATGGGTCCCGCACCAATCGAGAACGTGGCCACGTAGGACAACACGGTTGCTATGCTCAATCCAACGGCCCACATTAGCTTCGTTTCTGAATGATCAATGATAGTGAGGCTCACACCAAGTGTGAGAAGCGAAAGCACCATTCCACCAACACTCGTCAACAGCAACGGACGCCGTCCAACACGGTCCAACATAAATGTAGCCACCAGGATGAACATCGTCTTAACGAATCCAACGGCCACGGTTGCAAGAAGCTTATCGGTGTCGCTCTTGATCCCAGCCTTTTCGAAGATAGTGGGGCTGTACAAAACGACAGCGTCTATGCCTGACGCTTGTTGAAAGAAGTGAATACCAAGGGCAGCTATTACGATGTGACGAATCGCGGGCGTTGGATAAAGAAAAAGCTCTTTCCATACACCCTCGCCAGTGTTATGCTTGGATACTTGAACGACGTCGTCGTTGCAACTTTCGGGGATCCCAGCGGCACGCTTGATGTCGTTTAACCTTAACTGAGCCTCTTCCTTTGAGTCTGAGGTTTTGTTAAGAACTTTTGTTGCCTCTGCTAAACGACCCCGCATGACAAGCCATCGAGGAGATTCAGGCATGGCTAACACTCCAACTCCAAGGATTACTGAAAGAACCGCACCAATTCCGAGCATCATACGCCAACCCATGTGAAGTGCCATCTTCGAAAATGCATAGTTCGATATATATCCTAATAATATCCCTCCATTTATGAAAACCTGCAAAATAATAATATTCATACATATATTCATATAAAGGAAAAAAAAATTAAGAGAATAAATTTTATCTCCAATGTATATTATATATTATGTGAGGTACACACATATTATATTATATATTTTTTTATTTTACATTGAGAAAATTTTCTTATCCTACACTCACAATATATGAGTGGATCTCATCTTAATTTTTTTGTCTTCTTATCTTTTTGTGAACTCCACTCATGTATTGTGAATGTAGCATAAAAAAATTTTCTCAATAAAATTAATTCTCATTATATATATATATATATATATATATATATGGACAGGATATTCTTACACTGATGTAAGAGTTAGAAGTCTTACACTCAATCTTGACCATTGATCCACTTGTATCCAATGGCTCACATTACTAAAAAAATTGAGCCTTTAGATATAAATAGGATCAGTGGACAAAATTAAAAGTGTAACTTACACTGGTTGTAAAATGATCCTAACTCATATATATATACACACACGTGAGATTTATATTATTATTTTTTTCACCAAGATAAAATTATATCTAGTTAAACTCTTATGGGGCGTTTGGTACAGGAGAAATTTTTATTTGTCCGGGAATCTCAATTTTCAAAAATATGATTTTTACATTCAGTTTACCATAATATCCGGAAATTTAAAATTTAGAAAAATTCAGTTTCCCGGGAATCCGGCCAAATGCCGTGTACCAAACGCCCCCTTAGAATAATAATATTTTCATAGATATTTTAAATGCTATGTGGTCACCTCAGGGAAGGAGGTGAGGAAGCCACGAGAGGAAGCAGGGGAGACTTCGGCGGTGTAGACGGGGGCAATCATGAGGGCGTAGCCGATGCCAATGCCGGCGATGAAACGGCCGAACATGAGGAAGGAGTAGTTGGGTGAGAACCCCATGAGTATGGCTCCGGCGAAGAAGATTGAACCGGCGAAAACAATCGTGTAACGGCGACCGATCCAGTCGGAGGTTCTGCCGGCGAGGCATGAGCCTATGAGGGAGTAGAGGTTGATGATTCCCATGAGGATTTCTATTTGCACGTCTGAGACTTTGAGGTCTCTTTTTATGTATATGGCTGCTCCACTCATCACACCAATATCTGTAACATGGTGTGTATATTTATCATCAGTTAATTAATAAATATATATTGATGTGCGTGTGTAATTAATGCTTAATTGTTGTCAATTCATGATATATATAAAAATAATTTCCTTTCATATTCTCTTTATTCTAAAGATTCATGCAAAATGTTTTGTCCCACGAAACAGTGTTCTTTCTTTCTTTTTCCAATTTTTCTGTTTACTACAGAAAGAAAGAAAGGGAAAAGGACAATAAATGAAACCGAGGAAGGGATGGTTATTTATATGTGATAGTATAATAAACTCACCATAACCAAGCAAGATGGAAGTCATGGAGGCCAACATAGCACATGCAAAAGCATACTTGTTTCGCTTGGGCTTCTTTTGAGTATCGAAATCCTCAAGAGTTTTTGGAACTCCTGCTTCAACAACTTTGCCCTCAGTCATCTTGACTTAGAAGGGATTCACACAGGGGGAAATATCAGAAAAGGGAGTGTTAAGTTAACTGGTATATATCTATCTATTATTCAATGATCATGTAAGATAAGAAACCAGTAGTAGTAGAGCTGGCATATAATGCAGGGTATGAGCTTATGCTAGCGTGCTTATATAGACCAAAGGCTTACATCACCTTAGACCACGGGTCCAACATGTGGAGGGCCCAATTCTCTCTCTCTCTCTCAAAATTATTAAGGTGTTCCAATTGCATCATTTATTCAGTGGGACAGAACAATTAGAACCAAACAATAAGTGAGTTATATGTATGGATAAAAAAAAAAATTAAGCCAAGTATCCCATTTTTAATGGAAGAAGCATGTTTCACCCTTTTGTTTAAGCTAAAAGTTACAACTAAAAAAGAGCTTTATAAATAAAATTATAAGCTATAAAATTGTTAGTTTAAGAATTATTTAAAAGTTGTTCATTAAAAAAAAATACACATTTCAAAAAAAGTTAATACAACTTACAAAAAAAAACTATTCTTAGAAATTTTTGACTTTTTAGTTTTTTCTTTTTTATAATAAAAAACCTCTTTTTATTAAAAAAAATTTTGTAAAAATTCGTTTGAAATAATTTCTACTTGTAATAAGAAGAAAAGCTTAAAAAAAAAAACCCCGAAAAATATGCACTTAACAAAGTCATCTTGACCGTGAGTGCTTACCTAATTCAGACACTTTTTTATTTATTTATGGAAAATACTTTTCTTATGTTGTAGAAAAATAATTATCTTATGTTGTAAAATAAAATTACAAGTGAGATCCACAGATAAGAGAAGAGAAAAAAAAATAGTGAAATCCACCAATTTTTTGTGTGTAAAAAAATTATTTCTCTCGTATAAAATGATATAAATATAACCCTTTATTCCTTTATCCAATCTCTGTGTAAAATTCGCGAATGCAAATTGGTCTCGTGGTGGCTCCCAGCTAGCTGCATGCAAAATGACAAAAAAAGGAGTACTGACGCTAACTCTTAAATAATGCCAATTGATGAAATGAGTGACCAAACAATGCTAGCCTCTCCGTGCAACATGGCCGGTTTAATGTCGGTCTAGATCCGGTCCAGCCTAGAGATCAGCTGCTACGTACTACAGCCAACGTGTTTCCACATGTCTGTTGGTTTCTCGGATAATCATTTACCAGTCATTGGAGAATTTCATTACGGATTTTAGACATAACATTCATGATTAAGACAACTCTCTCCCTCCGTAACGGGATATTACATTCTAGACGGTATTTAGATATGTAAGCTTTTTTGGAAAAAAAATTAAAATTATATGGTTTGGGAAAGAAAAAAAAAAGTTTAAAAAACTTAACTGATAAAATTAAACAAAGCTGTTTTACTCTTTTGTCTTTTTATGAGAAATTTTACGTGGGTTACTATTTTATTACTTTTGGGAGTGTATAAAAGAAAATTCAATCTATGAAGAAACATATGGCTAACATGCAAGATTGATCATGCATAGTTAGCATGTATGACTAAGTGAATTAAATCATGTGACACATTTTTTATCGAGCGATGACTTTGAGGATGATACCACATGTAGTCATCTACCATATCAATAGCTTCTCCTTCTTATCCCTATATAACACTTTTTACTATGAATGAATTCTCTTATGTTAAAATTTTATAGGATTTGGTTATTTGAAATTTTTATGTCTATCTCTTTCTTTATTAATGATAATTGGACCACATTTATTTAATACATGTGAAGAGACAAATAGTCACAAAAATTTTACAAGACCAGATCATGTGAAATTTTAACATGAGAGGATTCACTCTCACCCTCCTTTACCCTAGAAATTTGGTAATACATTTTGAGCTAGTTAATTTATCCTCTTTATCTCCTTCTTCGTATTTTCCATTACTCTATTGAAAATAAGTTTACATATGCAAATAATTCATGCAATTGCCTCTCGCAATGGTCATAAATAATTGTAGGTTCAAGTGGTATGTCGACATTCAATAGTCAAAAAAGAGTAATACATATTGCCCATGACACTTCTTTCGATGGATTGAAGGAGAAGATTCACGGCAAACTGAGGCTCCAAGAAAACCAATTAATTTCTCAAATGACACTAAAGAGTTATTAATGTCGAACCTTGTGAAAATTTAGGTGTAGCAATTTCTTATGATAAAGATCTGGATGTGATGAAGTAAGCTTTTGTTTTCCTGCACTGATTTGCATCTTATATGCATCTAGGTAATGTGTTTAATCACCTTTTATTAATAATTAAAAAATTCACTAAATTTTAAATTGAAAATAAATTTATTTTACTAACTTAATATCACTACATTATTTACTACCTTAATACTATTACGTAATTAATCTAAACTTAATTATTATTATAATTCTATTATAACATCAATTACCTTAATGTCATTATTTACTATCTTAATGTATTTAGGCAATCTACAAATTAATCCTAAACTCTAACTATAATAATTACAATCCTATTATTTAAATTTAAAATAAAATAAATAAAATAAATTGGTTTACAAAGACTTACTTAAGAGAGAGTAAGTGGCCATGAATTTTGTTTTTTAGAGCGAATTTTGTTTTCATGTTGTCATCAATCCTATTGTTAATTACAGAGCATGTTTTCGTGTTGTCATCAATCCTATTATTAATTACAGAGCATGTTTTCATACTTACAGCGAAAGGCCTAACCTGCTTTTTCCATCTCATGGTTTCAAATAGTGGTCATTACCATTCCCAGAGAAAACAACAAAACAAAAAAGATGCATCACTTAATGTCGCTTCTAACTGGCCAAACCCTATTCCCATATAAGTGCATATATATATTTCGATTAATTTCACTTTCTTCTTTCTTTCTTTCTCTATCTGCACATTCTATGTTTTATATCGAGAATAATGTACCTCTTAAATTTTCTAGTTTGATTTCTCTTCATTTCCTCTACCAATCTCATCCATCATTTTCTTATTAATATTACTACTGATATTTGATATAAAAACAGCTGTACAAAGAAAAGAAATATACTGTAGAAGAGTGAGATTTAATAAATTTGTTTTTACTCCCTTTTTTTAATTTTTTCACTTAAGATAATTAATAAAAATTTAAAATTTATTGAAAACTTTTAATAATTAAAATATAATTATATTTGATTAAATTATATTTTCATTAAAATAATTAACATATTAACAATCATTTCATTTTTTTATTTACGCTACATGAATACTTTTATTTTATTTTATTTGATATGAATTATTAAGAGATATATTTTGTTGTGATGTTGTAGTTCTTCTTGCAGAGTTTAGTTTGCTCTTGCAAACTGATGCTGTTTGGGTTAAATTAACTCATTTAATTTTGTAACGATAACTTTGTTTTGTTTTGTTTTTTAGAACCTCCTATTTAACAAAAATAAATAAATAAAGGATAAGTATAAATTTAAAAATGTTTTAATTTTTTTAATCGATAAAATGATATAATTTCATTGAAATGTATATTAATTTCACAATAAAAAATACGAAAAATTTCATAATATTTGAAATGAGACAAATAATTCTTATATTGATATAAGAATCAGAAATCTTATCTCAATTTCAATCATTAATTTATTTGTATTTAATGATTCACATATAAAATAAATAAAAATAATTAAGTATAGGTAAAATCAATATCAAAATTGAAAATATAATTTATAACGGTATAAAATAATCATAACCGATTCAAAATAGGGTTTTTTTTTGCGGTTACTGCAGATAATTATCTGCAGTAAGTCCAATACGACGTAGTTTTGCAACGAAAATCATGGTATTTTTGTAATTTTAATTTATTTCAGGGTTATAATAGTCTTTATATTTATAATTTTTTAAATTTTAATATCAAAACAACGTCGTTTTGGAAATAAATGCAGATAACTTATCTGCAGTAACTCTGTGGAAACATTTTTCCCTTCAAAAAATATGTTATATATTTGGAAAAAGTGTTTGTCCTTTTAAAAGATACAAATTGTGTCATTTCACTCTCACAAAGAGGTGAGACCATGGTAGTTAAAATCGGGATTTTAGCTAAAATCGGAAGGAGGATAAAAAATCATAAAATGTAAAATTCTAACGTAAAAAAAATCATAAAAGCGTTTGAAATTTTGATGAAATCATTTTGATTAAAAAAAATCGTAAAATCGCATATTTAAATCAGGATTTTAACTACCATGGGTGGGACCCACATCTTTATATTTTTTTGTCCATTCTCTATTTTTCTTTATCTATCTCTTTTTCTCACTTAGAATGACACAACTTTACATCCTTTAAAATAATATACATTTTTCCTTATATATTTTTTCTAAGTAAGCAAGTCAAAGAAATGTTGAATTTGGATGGGAGCGAAAGGGCATTGGAATTCAGATTATTTTATATCTTTGATTAGTCCAAAAGTAGCTAAATATTTTTAATTATTTCCATTTTCATGGTTCAAGACTTAAGACTCGAGATTCAACAATGACGGGCTGATCTGTCTGACTCAAAAAAGGACCCACTCAAGCTTTTCCAAAATTTTGTTGTGGGGCACCCACCCCACCCTTTCAACTAACAAATGCAACTTGCGCTGGTAGAGACCCTCCTCGCCTAGGCTTCAATTATTGTCTTTCGTTTGTATTATTTGCAAAATTTTGGAATGCATGCCCGTATTCTTTACACTTAAAAACAGATAGAAACAAAGAACTAAGTTCGACTATATAAGGTAATTACACCCCACACTCATCTTGTTCGTACCTAAAATTTAAGGATGTCATTTCAAACATAATCGGAGTTTATAAAATTACAAACTATTAAAAATCACGTGCAATGAACAACGGCTACTTGATCTGTCAATAAGAGTGATATTGTCCAATGTAATTACCGCATACCTCGTAAATTTTTAATTACATGAGTCAAATCCATAAATAAATAAATTAAAACAAAGACTGGAGAGTGTTTAATTATTCGGATGAAATCGTGACAACTATTAGTCTTTGTGTGTGATTTAAAATGGTTTAGGATAACCTTGATTTAAGGGGCCAGTAAGAGAAAATGACATAATTTTATGTGGGTGGTCACATGGGAA